ACCTTGACTCGATTAACGTGCATCATAACACCTTTGAGAATACCGGAGTTTAAAGTGTCGTTAATTATGTTATGCCTGTCTTCTCTTCATAACCTACTTTTATACTTAAATGTCGCTGTTGAATGATTGATACTTCTGTTTTTGGAAATCTTATGGTTTGGTTCTCGGTCTGCAGGTCGGCTGTTCTGACGGTTTCGTGCCTTACTTCAGTCTTTCCAGGAAAATTGTGATGTGTCTTAAAAAATGTCCCGATTGCTTTCTTTCACATCGTTTTCAGTGTGGCATTCACCATTTAATTTTCGCATTTCACGCTGCCGAGATTAACACGTTAGCTGTCGTAACTCCTTAAGGTAGTGAAACCTGTACGGTCAAAGTCAAAGTCAGAGCCAAACGCAGAGTAACGGTTGGTGACTTAACCATTTGGAGCCATAACTCTTCTAAATATTATTTCAGAATTCAGTCCGTACCGAAAAGAAAACAAAGCTCTTCACCATCATAAAAATTAAATTGTTCCTGCTATTTAAGGAAACATTCGCTCTTTACGTTGAAAATAATGGAAAACCAATAAATACAGTATGAAGAGTTACTGACTTTCAAAGCATGTGGTACATATAGTTAGTTTATATTGGGTTTTAAAGGGTTAATTCGTTACAGGGGCCGAAGAATATACATGGAAAGACTAAAACGCAACCAAGTCACTTTGGGTGGAACAAATACCTGATATGCATGGATAGAATTTTGGACCATAAGAAATAAATGGATTTGTCACGTTGCAAAATGCACAGAGATGCACTGTTCAAATTGATTATAAAGTATAGACAGCTGGAACAAAAACCACTGGCCACGTTTGAAAAGACTGGACAGTGATGGCCGGAACGTTTAACAAGCGAACTACATCGGCTTGATGGTGATGCAGTTGGAAAACGGTTATTAAGTAAGACAAAAAACTAACAGGACACGGCACCAGGGGGACACGTGTGGAAACATCCGTGCCACTAGCAGCATTCGAATTCGACATCCCTGTGTCTCAGCGATCTGCACAGCCTTGCCAGACGAAAACGCTTGATTTGTCTTCAACGTTCCATAAAGAGCCACGTCATTCTTCCCACGCTGCTCTCGCGTCTCGGTAAAAAATATCTTCTAGCTCATGACCCTTTTCTGGAGGCCACGTCTGAAATAGTACGCGCCTGCCGATAACTGTTTCTTCCACGTGCTCCAGGCTTTTTACACGCCGATGGAAACAGAAAAGTTTAAAACCATGAGCTCCTCTGACTGACGCGGCTATTCTTAGCCGTGTACCGTCTTCTTCATCACCTCGTTTTATAATTGCCTTCTGTTTCTTAAAGTTTTGTTAGATTTTCTGTTTTCGTGCCAACAAACTAAGTGTGTCACATTCAACTCGATGTGTGTCCAAATATTTATCAGTTCTGACGAGAAAGGTAGTACGATGCCATTCATAGACGGTAAAGGGTAAGCTGTCTCATGTTGAGTTTGGGTGGCTGGCACTCTTGCTTCATATTCAGAAGTTCTTGAGTTCAGATTTGGAGCGGAGACCGGTGTCTGTATTCTTTGCTTTATTCTCTTGCTCTTGGCAGATGGTAGGTTAATACCGATAGTCGGCGACACCTTTCTTCCACTCTTTTATAATCATCATTCACCGATATATAACGTATGCTTTCTAAGAAGCGTCGTAAAGTGACCAAAGAATCAGTCATGCACCAGGCCTGAGAGAACGGTAGCGCGTCATACTTTTATTTGAGAGGTAGGCTATTCGAATCCCGACCCGAGACTTGCTATCTAGATTAAAGTTTTGTGTGTGAGAAGGGCTGTCTTCTGGGTTGTCGCTTGCTGCCTTCACCATCATGGCGATGGTAGAGGCAGGAAACACCTCTGAAACGTCAGTAAACTTCTGCCAGACTGCACGGCGCAATAACCCAGAAGGTAGCCGTTTTCAAATGTGAGATGTGTTCCTTTATACCGCCCTGCTTTGTACAAAGTTGCCCTGTGAACTTCATTGTGTTTGGAACTCTGGCTTGTAGCTTGCAAAATGTAGGTTACTTCAGTCTGGCAGACCATTTGGAATTTAGATCAATAAGGCTTGGGTTTCTATAGAAACGGCGAATAACGTTTTTCATCCACTTTTCCGAGAAATTGAAAGAGGTAGGTAAAGTACACAAAGTCAGGATTGTACACGAGCTAAATGCCAGCCTTGATATGTGATCGGGATTCCTTCCAGGAAAGGACAGATACTAATCGCAGTTTGATATCCAGGGGCGGAACGTTCATGTTAGACGTGTTAAATTTGTAAAAACGAAAAACAGAAGCCTTCTGTCTTACGCTGTTGGTTCATTAGTACTCCGTGCACTGGAACACAGCAGAACCGATAAGGTAAACTGCATCGTAAGGCAGCTCCAGCCAGTAACCAGCTAGTTGAGGCTTACGCTCACGATGAGGGCATACAAGCGCCGTGATAGACCTTAACATTGAATATGCAATATTGTTAGTTTAAGAATACAGCCCGCGGTCATTAATATATCATGTCTCTGTTGTCAGGTTTTGCTCTTATATTGGAGAAATAAATTTATGCTGTATATTTTATGTTGATCCTAAGTAAACGACCCCTTCCTGGGACATCTTTCCAGTATCATTGACAACCAAAAATGGCAGAGTAGTGTGAGATTACTAATTTAGTGTAATTTACTTTTGATTCTGCATTTGGTCTTCCCATGGCTGTAGCTGCTGGTACTGGTTTGGGTTCCCGTTTGTCTCCGTCTCGGGACTGAAGCCGTTAAACTGACGTTTCGGGGAACATTTTTATAGGTGAATGGACAAAAACCAGGAAAATGCTGTCAAGATACTCGAGTGCGTAGGCTGAGATATGAACCGTGTACCAATATTATACAAGCTGTGGCCTGTTATCGTTTCAGCTTCAGCTTGCCTCGAAAAAAAATGGCTGTGCTGATTTCGAACAGTGGACATATGCGTACTAGACACGAACATCCCTGTCAGTTATGGGAATCTTGCATGGTAACAGAATATTTTTTCATGTGTTCGAATTATTAAAAGTAAAGTGTCATTCGAACATGTGAGGTCATACATATGTAGCGCACGTAACATGCCATTGGCTGCAGCACCTCTACCCCCCGAAACATATGTCAGTCTACAGCACCTTCTTCTTCTTCTTCGTGTATTTCCTATGTTACTGACGTGAGCGTCGCTCTGTATTTCTTTGGATTCCTGCTTCCTTTTAAGAACTTTCGAGGTTTGACTTTCAGAATGTAATTTTGAATGTAGAACGTAAAATACTACTGGTAGCCTACGGCAGCTGCAAGAAGTCTGCATTAACTTTCGGTTTTACGGTTAGAACCAACTAACCATTGCACTTCGGATTATGGAATATGATATGGAAATACATAATGAACGTACGATCAAATTTTGTATGAACCGTGCCTGGGCCTGTGTTAGAATTTGTGGTTACGGAGGGAAATTTTTGAAGTTAAGTCTGAAGATGTTCACGTAGTAGATGATCTGTTGTTCACAAATGACGTTTCAGAACATTGCCGAAAAACGGAAGAAGTAAAAGGATAAATTGGACGAAAGGTACAAATGATAAGAAAGTGGAAAAGAAATACGTTTGTTTGAATTCGTCCCCACGCCTGTATTGTTCAGAAAAGCATTGTGTCTGCTAAAGTGCTCAGTGAACATGCAACGGCTGTCACGTGTGTGCCCGGTAAGAGCAGGTTTTACCCTCCAAATGTTCCCGGATGCAGCCTGTTAGCCTGGTTGCACCCAGCACCAGGAGGGAACGAACAGCATTGAAGCTGCATGGGTTCACCGAGCGGCTTGGTGTTGCAGGCTTGTATTCAACAGGTTCATAGTTCGAATTTCATCCGGGTTACCGACCACTCTCACAGATCTATCAATATTTTTACGTTCTTGTCTAGCGTGAGCTAAAGTCGCCGAATGGGCCCGCCCATGTATATTTGCCTGTCTGTCGCGTTCCCCCCCCCCCCCCAAATGGAACCTCGTCGCATAAATGCAAGAAGGGCCTAGAAACAGTGGCCTGAGAACGCATTGGTGCAAGAATTACCTAAGACGCAACAACGACATTAGAATACATTAGTACAACAACGACCTACGTGATTTGACGTGAACATTTTTGGGATGTCAGTTTATTCTGACGAGCACACCTTTCCAAGCTTGTTCTAAATTTGTTCAGGCGAACGCTTCAAATAGTTCACGACAGGTGGGATTTGAGGTTTTTACGGTGGTGCAAGCATCCAGAAGACAGCCATTTTCAGTTCATGACAGCCTAATTTGGAAACCTACTGCTCTGCATTTGTGTCCATCTTTCCTTCTGTATATAAAATTTCACAATTAAATCCTAAGCACCAATCTGCCATTTTACATATATTTTGTGACACTCATTATGACCCTTGATCTAGTAAGATTTCACATAAACCCTTTTTGATGGAGATTTGATTTTTTCTCGAATTACTTGTAATTGCCTGTTTCGTGCATAAGAAAAAGCTAGTGAAGTCTGGGTCATGGAACCTTTTGTAATATATTTAGTGAATCTAATTTTGTGGTTTGTCATTGGTATGGTCCAAATACAACTTTTAAGACGCCCGTCTTCCTTGTTAAGTGTTCCGGGGCATGAAACGCCTTCCTCATTACGAAGATGGCTGTCTTCTGGGTTTGCTGCGTCGTATAGTCTGGCAGAAGGTTACCAATGTTCCAGAGGTCCTTGCTGCTCCATCACTCATCGGCCTGATGATGGAGGCAGCAAGGACCTCTAAAACGTTGGTAAACTTTTACCAAACTACACGGCGGTACAACCCAGAAGACAGCCATTTTCGGACTCACCGCCGTGAATACCTCGCCCTGCTCTTCCTCATTATGTGTTCACGTTGTGTAATTATTTTGGACAGATCAGTATTATCTGACGTACGTTGGTGAGAAGAGCAGTTTCTGAGTATCATCATCTTTGCTGTTTGCAGACGGACGCGAAAATGGTGTTCGATGTCATCCAGCGAATGGAAGACACGGAACCGTTTTCTGAGGAGCTTCTTGCCGCCATGAAGCGGTTGTGGGCCGATATCGGCGTCCAGGAATGTTTCGGTCGCTCCAACGAATACCAGCTCAACGACTCAGCCAAGTAGTAAGTACTTTTAATGTGCAACACGAAGGGATGGGGGGGATAGTGTACTTCCCCAGAACAAAATGTTCCTGCTTTCATTATAAAAATCCTCATTTCGAAGGTCGCCCTCGGAATATAACGTAGTTAGGCTTGTCGCGGTTGGACGGGGTGGTCGCCACTTCGAAAGAAAATTCGACATCATTTAGAATAAAAATATATATACTTTTTCAAGATCACGCTTGTTGAGATTAGGAGTTCGTTCACCTCCACAAAGTTCAGGAAAACGTCCGAAGCATCTGAACACGATAATATATGTTGTGACCGTGATTTAAACTATAGAGGAATTTAATTCACTTGAATTAAATTTCGGTGACTTTAGTTAGTACATTGTGCCTCTCTGTCGGTTGTTTGCAGATATCTCTTCTGCAGTCCATGCAGTTTTAAGAATAGACAGCTTTTGCAGTTGAACCAGCATTGTTAAATAACAAGATTGAGTCAAGTATGAATCTGTTAAGTGGAACGGTAGGACCCCCCCTTCGCTACACGGTTCTGTTTTGAAACGCCATGACGAGGAAGAGATAATGTATTTTGAATGCAATTTTGAACTTGGAACAGTGCTCGTCTGTGTAGAAGGCAGCTGTTTCTTATTAAAATTCTTGCACTGACGAGGCTCATTTCTTTTCTTGATGAGAGGCACATGGTGAAACAATTGTCAGCCTTTTTCCGCTGAAAGATGCAGAAGGTGATAGTCAGGGATTCACAGCATTACTGATGCAGCCGATATAAATTTCGGCGAAATATTTGTTCTTGCCGACATAAAACAGCGCAACTAATTGTCTGTCTGTGCATCACAGGCTCTGCTTTTCTTTATCAGGGTGGACATTTGTTTTTACTCAGGGGCCGATTAAAATCTTTTTAAGTAAACGCGTAGCGGATATCCACGCGAGAAAAATTCTGCAGTTCTAAAACTGTTAAATAGCCATCATTTAGTACTACTAAGTGGGCATTCTTCATACATGTATGGACAGCAATAAAGATGGAATCAGTAAATTCGTAAACGACATCCTAGCTCTGAGTTGTGTTCGCAGTCTGTCCAGACAAATGCTTGGATTTTCCTGTAAGGAATGTTATTACCGCTACGTAATGTCTGCAACTGGAACTGCTTCATTTAATAATAACGTAATTAATGAAGGAGAATGTTTGTTCGGTAAGACGTTGCTCAACCACGTGGTTGTGACGTGTATCCTTTGCACACTACGAACGAAATGTATTAGTGCATGATCTTGCAGCTTTCACAGCAGCTAGTAAAAATAAAATCTTCTCGGGCCACCAGCTGTGTCAGTTGGTTAAAAATCGACGTTTCGGGGACCGCTCCGTCCCCGTCATCAGGATTTGAGCTGATCCCTGAAACGTGTATTTTTAACTCACTAACACGGCTGATAGCCCCAGAAGATTCTAGAAATTTATAAGCTTTTAACAGATAGTAGTTGTTTTTGGTTTGATTTTCATTTGAGGTAGCGAAACGAAAGCAGACCTTTTCACTTTAGGCTAACCATTTCAGCTTTCCACAGACTTTAATTTACCTATTGGCTTGGAAATACAGAAACTGATTAATGACTCCTTTCTTACCGATGTATACTTAAAGAATCGTTTTCTGTTGGAATGTTTGTTGGCAAACTATATATTTTCTTATTAGAAAGCCATGAATAGCATTAGCTGTTGAGAAGCGGAAAAAATTGCTTTCATTCACATCAAACCTGTAATCCAGTTTGTGTGTGGGCTAGTGCCTGTAAGCAACAGGACCTGCATTTCTCGCGTAGCGTAGATATGGTTAAATGTGAGTCCATAATGTAAGCAAGGTTCCAACCTGTAGCTTTTCTTTCCTGATGGCCAAGAAGTAAAAACGAAATTCTGGGAACGCCTCCAAACACTGAATGTTTACTTTAAAGACTATTGGCCTTTCACTTCGTACCTGCCAGTTCTAGTTTTGCTGAATCTCGGATCAATTCACCAGTTCAAGCACGGAGGCACATATACTGTACGCATGCGCATAGGATCGAATCTCAGGTCTGGATTTATTGTTTCTTTTCTTTCCCCCAAGCAAATTGTAGAATAGTACATTAAATAAGGTCATACATACTTCTTTGCCAGGAATCGATACCTTCTTTACACAATTCAATTCTTTAATATTAGTGTGCTGTATCAACAGCCAGGAGATGTCGTTTAGATTTAATCCCTGAAATTACTGAAAAGATAGCGACTAAATTTGTTATTGGATTTCAGCCAAAATTTAATTTTGGTTGGTTTCAGTTGAATCTAACCTCTGCTTTACATGAAGTTTATATCGAACTCAACAGATTTTGAAGATGGCTGTCTTTTTGGTTGTGCCGTGTAGTCTGGTAAACGTTTACCTACGTATCAGAGATGCTTGCTGCTTCCATTATCAGGGCGAGGACTACACGGTGCAACAACCCAAAAGACAGCTATCTTTTTATTCGCCGCCGTGAGAACCTGAAATGTCAATAGATTTTCTAAAAAGAAGATCTTGTTGCGCAAACGGGTGAGAAGTAATTTGAAATACAGGACTTATTCAGATCTAAAACTTCTGTTTGAAGCATTTTTCAGTACGGTTAATAATAACTAGGCGAGAAAATAATTTGTATGGAATGTAATACTTGTAGCTTTGCAATAGTAGAGTAGTATATACAAGAAGTGTAGGTCAGTTATGAGTATTAAGTGATGTATCTTTTAGTACGTTTAACGTTGAGTTGACACAACAAGTCTTGATTTTAGTTTCATTGTTTATTAACTCAACTGCAGCTTTCCACCAGTAACTACACCTACGTAGTCAATTCTGCTAAAGTATGTAAGCTGCTTAAGACACAATCCATTACGTGGTGAAAATTGCAGAAAATGTGTATACAATTTAGCTATCTTATCCATTAGTTTCGAAAACTTAAAGAGAATCACATGAGGATGACAAGTTAAGGTCTAAACATGTAGTATCTATTCTTAATAAACATAGGTCAGTTATACCATGTGCATTAAATCCCAAATAATGTGTTTGGTAAACACATGCAGTTCAGCTTGAAGGACAACTTTCCTCCATTTGTAAATAAACAATGTCATCATATTTATAGAAATGTTCATGTTATGAATATTAGTAACAGGCGAATGGAGGTCGGGATGACTTGATTTTGTTTAGGAATGGGAGTCACAGGAAAGTCCATATCGATTGCAGGTGAACGAACCGAGCCACCTGGAATGGACGGTTCGCTGCTCTGTGGCCACGATTGCTTTTATCAATTATTCACACTTCTTTGTTTATGGCTACATCTGAAGTTAATGATATCCTTGCGTCTGTTGTGACTCAGTTTATGCCCCTTTTTTGTCTGACCCGTCCATTATGTAGCTATTAAACAATTCATTCGCTTGTTTTCTTAGGCCAGAAAGAACCCAAAAGAGTTTTCTGACGCCTCCGGTTAGTCTGTAAAGTGGTGATGGCAAGGGTTCAACTACCGGAAGGATCGTTGAGATAATTTCTTCACCACTACGTCCATGAGTTCATTTCTCCACCAGGATACTGTCTGTACTGACTGAGGTCTGTCATGTTTTTCTCGCTGTCTCCGGATGGGCCTAAATTTGGGGGTAGGAACTGAAAACAGGCCATGACCGCTTCCTTCCACATTCGCTCTCCCATTCGACGCTGTAAAACACACGCAGTTGAAGGACATAATTATGTGAACAGTTGGGAAATTTTCAGCTTCTTATCTGGTATATATCGGGATTCTGTTCAGCCCAGGAACACTGGGATATTTCTTCACTTCTGTGTCGAAATCCCGTCCAGGACTCACCCAGCTTCTTTTCCAGTGATCAGTTCCGTGTAAATTATGTTATAAATTATAATTATCAGAAGATTCGATGCTTTCGTGGCGGCGGAGATGTAGGTGTTGGTCTTCCCGGTAGTAACGTCGTGTGGACTTGTGGGTACAACCCAGAAGACCAACATAGACTAGTGAAAAGAAGTTTGGGTTAATTGTTCGTTTATTTTAATAGGCATAATGCTAGTTATGTTTTGTTATTACCTCAAGAGAAGAACGTGATAGTAAGTATTCTTACTGCGTATTTGATGTTTTATGAATGATTGAACGTCAGAGATATTCTTGAAACTTTTTCTGTGTCACCAACTTATCAGCATTTGGCCATCTCTGTGTGCGTATGTATATGTAAATAGAGGGATGATTGGATAGACTGATTGTTGTTGTTGGTGGTGGTGGTGATGGTGTTAGGGAGGAACTGTCTGTTTTGAACTACTGCCTCTAGTGAATTTATCAACAGGCTGGTTGATGATGGTGATGTTCTGGGTTTCGGCACCGTGTAGACCCGTTGGTAAATGCCACCGACGAGTCTGAACGACGCCAAAACTCAGAAGAACATTATCATTCTCATCGCCGTGAAAACCTCAAATCTCACACCGATCGGCTGGCTGGCCGGCTTAGTGACTGACTGACTGATTGATTGATTGATTGGTTGGTTGGTTGGTTGGTTGGTTAGTGAAATTTTTTTCCCGTGACTGCTTGTTGGGTCGGAAAGTCGGGCGACTGACGGATTGTTAAACTCTTTTTCAGACGGTTATCCATTGCGTTTGGATGTATTACACCTTGCACCTACACCACGCCATAGAGGCATATAGGGAAGCTCTACTCATCCTTCCGTGCCAAACCGTTGCGTATGAACCCCTTTCCATGTTGAAGATGGCTGTCTTCTGGGATGTTGAATGTGCATGTGTGAAGGAGAAGAAATAGGAATATTCTTTTGATGTTGGTGTTCTCAGAATTTTTGACAAGGGTGGCAGTGTGTTTGTTGCTTGCGAAATGAGTGACTTTGGACCATTGCTGTAGCAAATACATAATGTAAGGACAGAGAAGTCGGCTGTTTTGATTTTGCATGCCAAGACACGCGGTTATGACATGTGACGTCCAGTGTAGAGAGAAACAGATGTGAGGTTCGTGAATATGCGT